GTTTGGCAGTTTGAATGTTTTGTGGAAGATTGTGGATTTTTTGTTTCATTAATTCTCTTAGGTAACAAAAAAAAAAAAAAAAAAAAAAAAAAAAAAAAAAAAAACAGAACTAGGAAAGATATGTTCTTTGCTAAAAATTTTTTAATAAATGCAGTTTCAGAAAGGTTGAAATGTGAAGGAAAAAAATAAATGTAACAAAGCTATTCATTTAAAGATCTTAGATTGAAAAAATAAAATCCTTTAGACGAGGTGTGGCAAACTTTTTTTTGGTGTGAATACAAATTAGTTGTAAACATCTATCATACTCATGAATTTTAACATATTGAAGCCCCAGAGTTAACTGGCGAGGCAAGGTAAAGATAAAGCATGATGCATCATTAAATCTTATTAATTTTAGAACTGTACTTCTAGTGTATGAATACTATGAGAACAATTATATAAAAACGTATTACACAATAGAGATTTAATGGTCATATTTAAATCCCAGTTAACTAACTGACATATAAATTTCTGCTAGAGATAAAATAAGCTTTTTTAACTATTAAAAATTCATATGCCTTGTAAGGTATTTTCTCTCTCTTTCCAGCATGCATTCATGGTGTAATTGTAACACCCTCGGCACATATTCGAGAGGTCCAGGTTCAAATCGTGGCAAGGGCATTGCTCATTTTTAATGTTTCCTACTTCAAAAATCCTAATGACTCTACAGCGGTGCTTGAATTAAAAGGTGGTGGACAATGCTTTGTCACCACCAGGATTTGACGATTGGGACCCCTCATCCCCAGTCACCCTTTAAAAAGTGGAGTATATAATGCATTTTCTCCCTCTTTCCAGCATGCCTTCATGGTGTTATGGTAGCACACTCGTCACATATTCCAGAGGTTCAGGTTTGAGTCCCGGCGAGTGCATTGCTAATTTTTCATGTCTCCTAATTCAAAATAACCTAATGACTCTACAGACTGATAAAAGGTATACAAATATTGACCGATTTATTTATTAATCTATTAGAGTAAAGCACATGGGCTATCTGCTTTAGGAGATATACTTTTGTGGAGGAGATTTTTTTGGAACTGTACGAAACTCAAGTAAACATGGAACAAACATGCAGCCAACTCGTTCGCCACATCAGGATAAGCTTTCAATGTTACCCACTCGACCACTTCTGAGTACAAATATTAATGGAAAAACCAGCAGTGTATATAAATTATAATTTAAAAGTTGCTAAGAAGGATTTTCATAATCATGAATATCTCTTAAAATGAAAGTTACAAGTTTTTCTTAAGAAACTGAAAGGAATTATTTACTGATAACTGTTAAAAGGGGGGGGAGGGAATGAAAAAGCTATAAAATTCATTGCACTTAATAGAATTCAAATCAGCAATGGAAATCTGCTATGATAATTTTGAAAGTCAAGTAGTTTCAACATGAAAATCATGTTGCACTTAAATCAAAATTATGTTCTACAAAAGATTATTCACGTACATTAAAAATAATTACAGATTTTGAAACGCTAATAAAATATTTGTGGCTGAAAGTTTGATACCATTAAACCATAATCATATTGAATTATGAAATATTTTTCATTAACATGCCAAAGAATTTTTGCAAGAAAGATACATTACCTAGCATTCCTGTTAGCCATCATTGAATCAAATGTGTTAATCTTATAACAATGTTCTTGTTTTTAAGGAAAGTAACACGGATATGCAATGAACACAAATAATTAATATTGCTAAAGAATTGTATCTGAAAATAACCAATGTACATCAGTTATTAAAAAATATGGCATCATATGATAAACAAAAATTAAAAAGAAGAGCTAACAAATTATGATTGTCAAACATGAAATGATAAAAAAACTGATTTTGCAGAAAAATATTTATCCACTGTAGAAATTAAAGAAGTGTTAGATGCTTTAATCTCATAAATAAAAAGGGTTAACAAAAAAGTAAATGAAATACCTCCCAATTTCCAATGCATGAAAAATTAATGTAATTCATATTTAGGTAACTTAAAGGCAGTAGCTTAAAACTTAAATATCTGAATAATATAAATGCTGCAGAAACTGAGTCAGAAATATATAGTTTTAAAATCTTTGCTATTTCCATAATTCTGGGCATTAAAGCAGCTACAAACTTGGATCACTTAAAAATAATTCATGAAATTCAATCCCATCCAAATTTAGAAATAATATTAAACATATTTTAACTTTGCCAGTTAGTGCTGCTAGAATTGAAAATTTCAGCAAACTTAAAATAATAAAACATTGTATGAAACCTTCACTTGTAAAGGAAAACTTTCAAACATGGACCATTCCATGAGAATGTCCCAACCTCCAAATATTTCTTTTTTATGACAACATGGTTATTCATTCAAACATAGCTATTATATTTCAAACATGGCTATTATATTTCAAACATGGCTATTATATTTCAAACACATTATTGATTATTTACTTTCTTTAAAAGGAAAAAAAAAATATTAAAACTCTGAAAAATAAGTTTGATCACTTTTATATTAGCTACATTACTTAGATAGGAATATCTTAATGCTTTTCATTTCAAAACTTTCAGTCTTTCTAAGTGTAATTTTTCTAGATACATATACACCTATGACTAAATATTATTATAAGAGTCTTGGTAGTATGGTTTGAAATACATAAAAATGTACAGATAAGTTAATTTGTACTATATATGTGTGCCTTTTTTTTAAACTGGTCGGAAACGCAGTGCACATATACCTCTTTGTCTCAGGTGAAGGCATTGCTCTGCCTGTAATTCTCAAACAAAAGTTATTGCATTAATTATAAGCTACTACTTTTATCTGAAACATTTTTTGACAGGACTCAAAAAATAAAAATTAATTTTTTACCACTATTATTTGTTATTACTTTCTAATCAATAAGTTTTCAGTGTTTTGTTGGCACTTTTTAAACATAGGGGGATGGGAAATATTAAATATATATTTAAATAATTATATATACAGTCAAAAGTTGTTAATTCCGAATGATCTATAATCCGGACCTCAAAGCTACAAACTTTCTGCGCATGCGCATAAGACCTTTACGGCTGCGCATATGTGTGTGCGCATGCGCATAAAACGTTTACACATGCGCATTTAATGTATAATGGACGGTATAAGCTAAGCTAATTTTCTATTTCAGTTAATATTGCAGATTGCGTTGTTCCTTAATCTTCTAATTGGATCCGGCTTATTATTTTTTGCAGACTGTTAGAGCAATTTTATAAAAGTAAGCTTGAACTTTCAACTATGTCAAATAGAATTTCCGATGCTGGAGCTCCCAAAGGATCTACAAAGCGAAAGTATGTTTTGATGTCCATCAAACAAAAAGTGGAATTGCTGCAAAAAATGGATAAAGGCATATCCTTTGTTTCTCTAACCATTCCAAAGTCTGTTTATCAATTTCACGCTGCTCTACGGTGGGGGGAGGGGGGAGAATGCCGTGGCGCGCAATGAATTGGAAGTTGATCTGTCAGCACTATCCTTATCTTTAGGGCAGATGTTTTTATTTTATTTGGCTTATAATTCCTTACTAAATGTAGTATTTCATTTCAATATATTCCATCTTTGATATGATTTAAATCAAATTCCTCGTCATTATAATTTACTTCTGACAGTGAAGGAAAGTGACACAGAAGTTATTGCAGCAATAAAAGGACTCGCAAAAATTTCGATTGACAAATTAGTCAGTATTCTCAACACAGCAATTATAGGACTTGAACAGCGGAACTTTGAACAAGAAATTATGTCTGTTTATAGAATTAAAGAGAAAGTATTATCACATAAAACGAAACAACTTAAACAACTTACATTGAAAGAAATGTTTAATAAAGTAAACAAATAAATATTAAGCTTTTTTTTTTTTTTGTAAATTTTGATACCCTTTAGATCATAATTGTTCTTTATTTCATAAATTACGGTTTCATATTTTTAATTTCTGCATGCCATCTTGCCAGATTTAAACTGATGATCTATAATCCGGAATCACTGAAGTCCCAACGAGTCCGGATTAACAACTTTTGACTGTATGTGGTTTGTATTCCTTTGTCCCCATTGCATGTCACAGTAAGATTGAATACGGTCCATTAACATCACAGTGGGGCTATGTCCCAGTGTTGAGTCTCGATTTAACATCCAGAACAAATCCCAAAGGGCAATGTTATGGTGAAAGCCAGAGACATGCTGTTGGGTGCTAAACATCGTTACAGAGGAGGAGGTTTACTTGCCGAGATTCGGATAGCAACGAACAGCTGCACCATTCTCTACATGATTCCTTATGGTTCTGTCACAATCATCTGATATTGCCACGAAATTCTACACCCTCTTGCGAGTCCTTTTGCGAGTACAGACACAGTATTTATGGACAATAATGCCCATTTGCATAGAAGCTCGAGTATCTGGAGTGTAGAACCATTCCACATCTGTACTGGCCTCCTAGATTCCCATGCCAGAATCTCATACAGCATGTATGGAACATGTTGGGATGAAGAATAGCATGTCACAGTGTGCCACCAGGAACTCTTCACAAGTTCCAACATGCATTAGTACAGGAATGGATGCCACTGCCACAAAAAGCTTGCTTTACTGTTGTCAAGCATGTATTTCAGCTAGAGGGTATATCATATCGTTATTAGCGTGATGTTTCCACTGCATATCTTTCTGACCCATTTGGTCTTTCATGATGATATGGTTATACTACATGTATTTTTATATGTCTTTGCTTTACTGTTTGTTATGTGATCTACTAATACCACACCAACCTCTTGGACCAATTTCACGCACCTGTGTTTTGCCTTTGTTGCTTATTTTTTTAGCAGGAGTGTAAACTTGGACAGATAACATTTGTATGTCACATTTGATGTTTTAATATAATATTACTGTGTGCATATGGGTTTGTAACACATTGAATGCATAAGTCCAATAAATGTTAATAAAATTTATTTTTATCAAAAGAAATATAACAAGAAATATAACAATTCATTAAATAGAACACAATTCACAGAGAATTTAAAGAGAAAGCTAATCTGATCTCATGCTGAAATCCCAACAATAACAACAGCAGCTAACTAAACAACTGAGCTGAGATGACTCTCTCTGATTTAGATATAGTCAGACAGATATGACTTAGATATAGTGACATATATATATATATATATGTGAAATAGATTTTAACTGGCAGCACGAGATAATTCTAGCATTTTCTGTTTCTCGATATTTCTGGAAAGCAATAAGAGAACGTAATTATGGTTACAGCTAACACGGTAGTCAATTACATTTATTTAATTTCAATGCAATTTACAAAGATATAAATTTATTCAATGTTAAATGCATGTGCTCCTGTATTTTTACTTTTCCGGCATAGCTTTCTCTTAAAATTTGTCACAGGCTGCACTGCACAGGGAAATACAATAATTTTAATTATAATTCTACTAAAATTAGCTTGTCTAAATATAAATTTGTAACAATATGTTAAAGAATTTAACATGCCAAAATTTTACAATAAAAAAACACAACAGATTTTAAAATTGATCTGTGCATCAAATTTTAAAATTGATCTGTGAATAAAAGAACACAACAAATTTTAAAATGCTTTTATTACACTAAACTGATATTTAAACATTCAAATTATTTGTATATTTATATTTTGAGAATCAGATTTTTTAATGAAGGTATCAGTTATTTAAAAGTACAATACAAAATTAACTTACTCATAACTATCCATTCACAGCTGGTATAGTTCCAAACATTTATCATACCATCTCTTCCTTGACTGAGAAGTGATGACTTGTAATAACATAGAAACATGATCATTTTTTTATCATGTGCACTAAATCTATGATATGTCCGATTGTTCTGGAAGAGAAAAAGTTATTTTAAATAGTTACATTTGTACATAGGCATTCTTTAATAAAATATTTAAATATTTGATAAAGCAGAGATTTAATTTAAGAATAGGTAAGAAAAGAATACTGAAAAGTCTACCTTCTTTCAGATTTTACTCTGACTAGATTTTCCTGTAAATTTTCAAAAATCATATACTCAATTAAATCTTGCATCATGATTTTTTCCGACACCCAGAAGAGGTGGGTTAGTCTATAGTTTAGAGTACTCCTTGGATTATTACTAAGATGTTGTTTAATTTATGGTAACCTGAGTAGCTGAATGTTCTGGAAACCATGTTATGATGTGATTCGTTGTAATGTGCGATTGCAGCGATTTTGACTGATGGGAAAATATTTGTAAGGGCTTACTTAGGTATGGATGTTGGTTAGGAAGTGTGTTGTTTATTTTGTGCTTTACACCGTAAAATGCCTACTAGTGGTATGATTAACCTGAAGTTTCAGAATTCTTTGGAATGACTGGGAAAGAAAACATTGATTGACTGGTATGTAAATGAAGATTTAAATGGCTTCAATTACCTCTTGGTAAATTATGCAGTGAGATTTAACGATTTTGAAACAAGAGCTCATATTAACACTATAGAAGTTATGTGAGGAGTAATAAAAAGGGATTTTCAAAAGAAATGCTACAGACAGTCGGAATATTTTTTATTTTTACTTTTGTTGTTAATTAATGTGGTAATGGCAGTATATAGATCCTAGTTTGGATAATTTTAAATAGCTTTTGGATACTGTTAAGGAATTCCATGTGTCACACATACAAAAAAACAGAAATTTTTAAATAAGGTACATCAAATTTCTTTTTGTGTTGTGTAGATTAGATAACATGTATTTACATTCTTATGTTATTTCCTTGTTTCATTTAAAATGCATTGAGATTGTATATTTTTGTTTTAATTTTGTTTTATTGCATTATGTTTTGGACGTCATTTTACTGGAAAGGAAGAAAAAAAAGAAAAAAAAAAAAAAAAATTCGCCAATTTTCACCAAGGGATACCCTGAAATATGTTCTGCCTTTTGGCCACATTGTTGCTATTAGTTAAAGTTACACTGCTATTAGTATTCTGTGGCTGTACTTAATACATGTCTGCTGGTATATGCGGATGATTCTTAATTACAGGCCAACTATGGGAATTTAATTATGTGCAGCTTCGGCTGATTAAATTTATTTAATTTAGTTTTATATTTTCTATTTTGAGTTAAAGCTCAAATGAAGGATTTTTACATGCCCAAGAGGGGCCATCTGTAAAGCTATTCTGAGTTGGAATAAAAGGTTATTTTAACCCTTCTCCAGAAGTACTTATGCACAAGAACCCAGCGAAAAATTTCTACATAGTTCTACCAGTATTCTAGCTGCCAAAGAATTCTATTCTAGTTAGTATATTGTAATATTTAATGTTAAATTAGTCTTAACTTGTTCCATCACCTCCACCAGTAATGTAAATTAAGTGGGCTTCAAATGGCAAATGAAAAGTTACAGAAAAGAGTTGGCTATTCAGCTAATAGTCTCTTTTCTATTTCTTTCACTTTGTAGCTGTGCTAATTTTGTTAAGGTCCTAGTTTTACTAGTAATTACATTTAGAAGTCAAGAAGTTTAATTAAAGGCCAGATTTCTAAGTGTTTAATTCATTTTACATTTTTTTTATATGTAAAATAATTTTTTTTTTTTTCATATACTTTTACTGTATTCCAAGCATCCTCTAAAGAGCAGTGATTTATATTTTATTAAGTTTTAATCATAACTACAAGCTAGAAATACAAATAAACTCAATTGGATTTTATTACTGTTGTATAAGAGTTCTTGAATTCTAAATTAAAAGCAACAAAATAATTCATTTGCAGTTTAGAAAGATTAAGTTAAATGTAAATTACGTCTAAATTTATAGATTAAGTAAGTTTAATTTTATTTATTTATCCATATTTGGAATAAGATAAACATGAAATAAAAGACTGAAAACAAAAGCAGAGTCAATAGAAGTGACATAGCTGCTTATGACACTGATTTTTGAATATTTTTCTTATCAAAGACAAAAAAAAAAAAAAAAAAAAAACAAAGAGGCACATTTTATTTCAAAGAATTATTGATAGTTAATATAGCATGATAATTGTAGTGAATGCCTAGGATACCAAAATTATTGGAACCAGACCTGCAGAAATATTTATTACAAATCAATGTTCAATAAATAACTGTAAATTGTTATATAACTCTCATCTTAATAGCAAATAAATGCACGAGTTAAATAATGATTTTTGAATATAACTAATTTATTCAGAGAAAAAGCCCACTTTATCAAGCAAAGAATGAAAAAGTTGCATTTTAAATAAAAACTACAAATCAATGAAATGTTACATATTACTGTGTACAACTGACACATGCCTGATATGAAGAATAGCACAAACTCATATTTTTGGTACTCTTCTGTTATCGGGACCGGATTCACAAATGTATGTATGTACGCATGTATACATGTTATTATGTACGTACGTATGTATGTGCACATACATGCATACACGTACATACATACATTTCAAAATCCGGTCCCGATAACAGCTGAGTATAATGTCTACAAAAGCTATGCGTGCATTTAATCTACATCCTAAACTGAAAATAAACAGATTTCAGCTTTCTGAGAATTTTTAGATAGTGTCAACGTAATTTCTAATTTATTTTTAAAACATCAGTTACATCTGTGACACAAAACAGAGGCTTATGAAATATAACTATTCTACTATAGTTGTAATAGATATGCAAATAAATGAAACAAATAATCTTCCAGGTTTTATACATTCATTACCTCAAGACTCCAAATAAAAATTTCGCCACAATCACTTCCAGATATTAATGACGGCTGAGCAGTGACAGCATGGTCTTTTTCGGTGGTAAAATGCAAGGAAGTGATTGTTCCTTCATGTCCTTTTAAAATGAATAAAGGTAAAGGCTGTGTCCTACCCATAATTCGAAATTAAACCAACACAAAAAAGTTTTGATACTTATCCAAAAACGAAAACAATCATTTCACTAACAATTCCTTCCATATTGTTTGTACACAAACTCATTGTTGCCAAATTTGCAGTAGTGATGAGAATAAAAGAAAGAAAAATTGATTGCTTATATTATTAATATTACAATAATAATATTTTTAGATAACATCCTCGTTTTAATATGATCTACTCAAAAGAAGATAAAAGTTATTTAGAGAAGATAACCAATATTATCTAAACTTCCCATTTACCGCGCAAAATATATATAATCATTTGTTAAACTTTTGCTTAAAAATAAGCTTTAATTTACATCTGAAATAATACTGAAGATATTTAAGATAATTTATAACTAAATTATGATTATTTGAGTTCATTTACCAGATGTAATTAAATAATACAAACACAAAAATTTTTTGCATTTAGAGGAACGCCAAATATTGTCGCTAGAGGGCGGCACCAGGTTCAAGATGAGAAATACCAAGAGCATCAATGAATATGTTTGTATACCACTAAATGTTGCCGACGAAGGGTATAGTAGAGTAGTATTTCTTATTGTAATCAATCTGCGGAATGTCAAAGTTCTAGCAGAAAGATTTTGCATATTTTGCATGGATATAGAATGTTTTACGAAAGAAAATGCACCAAAACATAGTAATTTCTGGCTGTTTTTCTATGAAGCCTAGGTGAAAAAAGCAGGGTCCTCAAATTTCTGCCGTAGTACGAGGCACCCTGAAAAGAGTGCTTTTCAAAATTTTCTCTTTTGTAGTTGCCGATGTGGCCTGCAATGGTAATGCGTGTGGTCGTGGTGGTTATGTGTTCGCCGTTAGCCGTCATGTCCAATACGAATCTCCGTAAGTGTTCATTTTTGAATTTTTACACGGACCAATGGGAAAAATTTTTTTTTTTTTTTTTTTGTTTCATTAAAATTTTAATTCAGTTTGCAGTTTTTATTAAGGACTTTTGTCAGGTATAATAATATAATAAAATTATAATATTCATCTAAGATACAATTTGCATATATTGTAAACACCCGAAAGAAATCCTATATATAGTTTGCATTTTACTTACATTCTGTTTTAAATAGGATGACTATCGTAAATATATATATATGACATAGAAAAATTTTCTGGGTAGGAAATAAGTTTGATATTTTATTTCTTAATAAATCATTTGCGGGGATAAATAATTTAGATTTAATTCTAGAAAATTATAAAGTAGTATTTGATTTCAGTAAACTTAAAAATTCATTAGTATTTAAAGTAACGCAGGTTCATTAAAAAATCCTTAATAATCAAATATACTACTAAAATTTTATAAATTTAAAATTAAGTAGCATTGAATTTAAAAATTCGCGCATTAACATAAATAAAGGTTATGAATCATTTTATCTTTCAGAATAATTCTTACACTTCCTAAAAATAATCCTATTACGGAATTAAAACCTGTAATTTTGTTTTTTTACTGCAAATCTTCAAAATGTTGATATATACTACTAATTATTTAAATGTTCAGTTTTAATGTGTTGTATTTCATACCCCTGTCTTGGTATGACTATAGTAAGTTCCTATATCATCATGTCCAATTTAAGGAAAAAATTCCAGAATTGTAAATAATACTTATTAAAATTCGGCAACAAAAAAATTAAAAGTTATAATGCATTTTATTATTATTTTTTTTAAATCCAAGATATGTTTGAATCCTAAAACAATATATGAGCTATACTGCAGTTTGTTGTATTCTTATTATATTTTGTGTTGATGTAATTTTAAAAGTTTCTAAATGCCAAATTATTGACAGGTATTGTATAAAATATTGTGATACATGGAATAGGAATAGCATGTTTATGTTTAGAATTAGATTCATGCTGATATATTAAAAACTTAAGTCAGTATTTTAAAAAGCATATTTGCTATCTTATTGTATAAATCGCTGCATTTTTTCTAAAATGTAAAGTCATAGAATATATTTTGATTATTGTATTTGCTTAAATATTTTTTCCTGTTGCGAAGATATTTATTTAAACATGCATGAAGTTAAATACATTGATAAAGTTTATTTTGTCAGAATTAAAGCAAAATACGGAAGAAAAAAAACGACGCGAGATTTGTTTAGAAGCACTTGATGTACATTAGAGAATTCTTTCTTCCTACCGATTGTAGTAGTACGTCCTCCTTTATATTGTTGGATAAAATTTTAAACTCTTTTATGTTTCCTTTATCTGGGCGATCGTTTTTCTTTCCGAAAACTCTTGTTTATCGAGACCTTTTCCTCTGCTCTGGCAGCTTTCGCTTTCCTTTGCTTTATAAATAGAAATCTTGTAAACCTTTCTTCATCGCTAGAGCGGGTTGTATACGCTGGATATGCTCTGCATTTTCTGAAGCTCTCGTTTGCCTGCTTTAGATGGTACCATATATATATATATATAAATCTGATGTTAACCACAATGAATCTTTGTACGGCCATTAAATTATGAACATTTTTTTGCTGCACTTTCATTAAAACTTATTCACTCGAATTATTCTAACTTAACTAATCGACTCCTTTAAGGCAAGTTGAAAATAACATCAAAAACTGTAAATTTTGAAATAAATATCCTGGTCAATTTTTGTCGTACGGGAGTAAAATCTTATAATTTATTTTTTCATAAAACGTTTTAAACCAAGTAAGTTGGGAACCGAGAGACCTCATGAAAGTTAGATTTCGTTCATTGTCGAAAATTATTATTATTATTATTATTATTTAATTTGACATTGCCAAAATAAGAATATTTTCGTCATTAAAACGCTTCTGTAATTGTAAGTATATGACTACGGCTATCGATTATGAAAATAAATCTCGGATAAGAACTTATATACCTATACCCGACGTATGTATACACACATAAAATTACAACGTTCTACGGCTAATCGAATTTGAGTTATGCGACATACATACACATACGTAAAGACGTCACTGAAAAAATCTCTTTTGAATCCATTTTATCATCCGTTTCAGAGGGGAAAAAAAAAAAAAAAAAGAGAGAGAAAGAGATTTTTATTCTGTCCGTATATACAGACGTCGCAAAAAATCGTCCAAAAGAATTCGAAAACAGTCAAAATTTGATTTTTTCGTTGTAATATCATACCCGAATTTTTTTCGATTAGCGTACTTCCTTTACTTCGCACAAAAAAGTAAAAAATCCCTGTAATCAAAGGCTAAAATATGGTCTATTAATACATCAAATCATTTTAATTTCTCATTCTGTTTTTCTTCTAATTTATTTACCGATTTTCAGTTTGTAAAATTTCTATTTAAAACCTATCTACTGATAATTTATTTTTTTTCCAAAAGTGCATACTGAAAAATAAAAAATTGTACTTTTCGTTTAACAAAGGCGTCACTTAGCGTCAAATATGAGCATTAGCGCGAAAAATAATTAGAAAATCGCGAAATATAATTAGAAGGTGGATCCACTTTTCATATTTTTATTTTATTGTTTCATTTTAGAGACTCAATATCATAGATACAAAAAAAGTTCCAAGTGTCAAAGCCCTCAATTGCAGCTGAATCTGGTCATAATTTCCTACAAGCCGAATTCGTGATCCTTTCGGTCAATTGCTGCCAAGCTTTGTTAACGAGAGTTAAGCAATGGAAAATATGAAATGGTGTTTCCAGAAGTATCTGACTGCTATTTATGTGGCATAAGATACCACAAAACACCTTTGAAAATAAGTTGCTGATTTAAGTGTTCGTAACTCGAAACACCGTTCGTCATCCGAGGCTTTTTTTGTACATATAATTTGTTCGTGAACCGAAATGTTCATGATGTGAGGCGAATCGAAATTCCACTGTATTCTGAAAATAATGATAAAAGGTTTCATTTTGCGGGAAATAAGTACCGGATTGCGTGAAATAAAACTGGATTCTGTTTCAGTTGTCAGAAATAAAACATGCATGCATCTGTAGCGGATATCATGTATATAAAATGTTGTTTTCTAATTCTGAAATTCTCTTAAAGCATAGAGCAGCAGTCATATGCTCTCTTGCACTGCAGTGAAACTGTCTACACAATAGAAATAATAAAGCTGAGTCATTTTACGACTGCATTTTTCTTTGATTTTTGCTGTGTTAAGTACGTGACAGTTTTTTCAAATATTACAAAATGTCCTTTTTTAAGTATGTTTCAAAATGGAATAAAAACGCTTACGAATTTAAATTTTTTAATTGTATCAGTATCCATCAAGTTACTGCAACAGTATCTCGTCTTTTTGTTTGGCATGAGGACCTACAGAATTTTGTAAAAGTTGAGATGGGAAGTGAAGGAAGAACAGAACGACTTTTTGAAGGACGTGACAGTGTTTTTTGCGACTGAAGTGTAGATTGAAACATTATTGACCTGTGAGAAAATTCAGACTGTTTTCTTCCATGCAGTTTATTTCGTGGCTGGAATTTAAAGAGGGGCATAAGCACGCAAAGCAGCCAGGAAGTCCATATTTTTAATTTTTTTTTTCCTCCCTGGATTTTGTTGAAGTTAATAACCCATGGCACGTGACGGAGAAGTTTAAAAATGGAACTGACGAACATATACAAATGGCCTGGTGAAGAGTGAGGGCGGTTTTTAGAAATTTCTTCTTCACATGTACATGAAGGAGTATCCTCAAATTCCGCCGGAAACGCCATTACTCGAAATTCTCTTACTATCTTTGACCTCATCTTACTTTGTGATGTTTCAACTTTTTTTTTTAAGATCAGTTTGCATAACATACGTTCCTTTTTTATATTAATTCAAACTTGGGGATATTCAAACTACTGTGAATAAATTCTTTCAATAGTACTAGTTGTTGAAGTATGACCCCTCAGTGGCTAGTGATCTTTTTCCTTTTTGTACAATAGTGATACGATAGTTTCTGTTTTCTGGTATAATAATGAAAAATGATCAAATAATATCCCCTTTTTTATTTTATAATTCATTCCTGTCAATTTTATTCCTAACTTAGCCAGGCCCACCAGCGGCCGAGCGGTATGTCGCTGAACACTGGTAGTTCGGTCCGAGGTTCGAATCCCGCGAGCGGGCTGGCTGCATGGGCGTTTTCGTGGTTTTCCCCATGTGTAACGTGTATACGAGCCAGTTTCCCTTAG